TGAAATCAAGATACTACTTTTTACCCGAAGTATCTGTATTCAACACACAAAGTAGATGGGTATCTCTCTGGGAACACAACTTATGCAGTGTGGCGGTAGACATGGTTCCCAAAGAAACATTTACATGCAAGTTTTGAAAGTCAGGGGTATTATTCACAAAAACTGAATCTAAAATATTTGAAGGACGCAGTCCTTTCATTGGCTTGGAGCTAAAATTTGTACCAGCATCTTTTACTCTCAACCATGTAAGTCTCCTTTCTTAAAATATTTCAACATAGTCGTGTCTTTTCCAAAGGAAACAGAATTGAATCGGTCTCCTACCTATGCTAGACTGGGCCTATTATTTAGCTTCTCTAACAAGTTTCTCAGGAAACCCATGTTTGCAATATCACCCAAAGTGGAAGCAGACTGTAAACCTTAAAGAATATTTTAGTTCATTGTTTTGTGATTAAAGCCCTAGAAATAAGCGTTTTTGTTCTATTTTAAATAATCTAGAAGCAGCCACTTTAAATATGAAAATTAGGTGCAGAATATTTTAAAAGCCATCTAGAATCTGGTTTAAAAAAGTATGCAGTATGTTTGTAGTAATGTTATTTAGGGGAAGATATCAGATATCACCATTTTACTCTACAGATCTAACATCTGTCTAATAATATAACGTAAACTCCATTCACATCTGTTCTCTCAATGATTCATCATACTGCACATCTGACACACACTTTGTCTGGTACCACTTCTAATTTAATTTGGAAAGAACACATAACAAGATATTTTGGAGGTTTTTTTCGTATCCATAACACCACAACAATGTCAGTGTTTTTGCAGGGAAACGGGAGGAAATGTATCCAGCGTCTTCTATCCTTCCGCTTTCATGACAGAATAACTTTTTTTTTAAAAAATTTTTTTAATTCAGTAGACCAAAATAGACAGAGGTTCCACCTTGATCAGGCTGCCATCCTTGCACTACCCTAGCAAATTAGAAATGTTACTAAAGGAACTTGATAATGAAATCTAATGCCACTTCTTTTTTCAGTTATAGCAATGAAACATATTCATTATAGCAAAGTATTCCTGTACCATTCCTAGCATTTCTATTTCAGATGTTATGCCATCTTTAATGAAAGAATAACTTCATTTTCTGATTTTAGATATCTGTAAGACAGTTCGTCTATGTCGCTTTAAATTTCATAAATCAGATCAGATGTCCATATTACATGGTAGCAGACCTGGTAGCCCAGTGAACTGATCTGTTTCAATGTTTTTTTGCTTATCATGATTAGACTGGCGTTATATTTCACAAAGACAACACACAGAAGCTGCAACTTGTCTTATGTTTTTACCATGAATAAATTTACATAAAATAAACCCTGCTCTATATCAAATATAACCTTTGTTTTGCACCAAATCAACTAGACAAACACGGGTTGAATATAATATGGTTTTAACTAAATGCGTCATCTTAAACGTATAATTTTTGGTCATGTTTAAGTTGTCCTCATTAGCCTAGTCGGAGTAGAAAAGTAGGACGTTAAACTCCATTTCATTTCATTTACACTTTGTGACTTTCTTAAAAATATAAATTTCTATAGTAGATTGCACTAAGTTAAAACTAGAATACCATTTGTTTAAGAGAGTCAATATACCAAAATAAAAAGGTTCTGAAAAAAGACATATTATTGTGAAAGGATTGGGACCAAACATTACAAGTTAGAAAACACAGAGTGCTTAACTATGTTTATAAAGACCAAGTACATGTAGCTTTGACTTTTGAAAAACAAGTCAAACACTATTGTTTCATTTGATTAGTGACAAATAATCATGTATGTATGACAATGAATTCTCGTGCAAATCCGTTAGACATAGAGTTATCTATTGTAGTATCATTCTTCAATAGATTTTTATCATGTATCTATGAACTTTAAATGCAATGCCCTTTATGATCAAAGATTATGTCAATAGGAGTTTATTCGTACAGTAATAGCAAAGGAGATTTTAATAAACATACTTTAATTTTTAAATCCTACCCAAAGTCACCCTGAGAAATGTCCCATTATAATGAATAATGGGGTAAATTTGTCACTCCTTTTTACATGAATGAAAATAGAATAAATAAAACTGTATGACACATGATCTGTAAATTTTATTGCTTCTTATTTTAAAGAGATAATTGTTTTCTTGGTTGTCTTAAGTTAATAAATTTGAAAACAAGTTGCTGGTTGTCATAGTTTGGGTTTCAGAAATCAGTTTCAACTGCAAGTGCAAGCGATCACTCATATAGTCTAATTAGATAAAACAAACTTAGATTAGTGGATCAGTGGCATATTAGCTGGATAAAGCCTATTGTGAAATATGCCCTCCCCTCTACTCACCCCACCCCACCCCACCCCACCCCAATATTTGGGTAAGCAAAAATTTGTGATCAGTGAAAACAAAATTCAGGTTATCAATGCACTTTTAGAAATTCCACAGGGAAGCATTTGAACATTAGATTTCCTTCATGGCACATGTATGGCATACGCCCGTCGTCATTAGCCCATTCGGAGCAGAACAATAGGACATTATACCCCATTTCATTTCATTTCTTTTAAACATTAGAGTAGTCAAACTTTCAATATTTCTATTTCTATTCCATCTACAACACCACAAATCTAATGGATTACCGGTAGATTGTAATAGGTCTTGGAATACATATATATGCACCATCCGACAGTATGCAGCTTGTAGGTTAGAATTCCTTATATATGAACTGTAAGCTTATAAACAGGAACAGTGCATCATCCTACATAGTGCAGCTTCTAATTTTGAAACGCTTTAGTCAGTTTGGCATGAATGAATTATATATGAACTGTAAACTTATTATAGACAGGAAGAAAGGTCATGTGTGTATATCATTTGTGAGTCTTAAATCTACCATTAAAGACATTAATTTGGCTGGCAGGACTTGCCTTTGGGAACAGTAAAATGATTGAACTTATTATCGTGTATGATTTCAAGGGGAATAATTATTATTTTCATTGCTTTCTTTTAGTCTATCGTATTATCTGTCTTCCCTACAGACTGCAGTACAGACGGATTGACAATTTATTTGCTAATTTTAGTCCAGATGACCCGCCTTGGGTTATGGATGTACAAATGTCCTTCTTAATTACAGTCTATTGCACGAATTCTCTGTATAGTCGTATATCAGAGTGACTGGCAAGATATTTAAATATTGTCCTCTCGTATTATAGCTGTAATTTTCTGCTGACTGTGTCGTGTGCCATTCGGTGTGTTTTTTTCATGAAGTCTCGCAGGAAAATCAATAAAGTATCATTATAGAGACACAGAAATTCCTGTACATTGAAGCATGACACAGAAACCATGACAATGCCTACAACTTGACGCCTCCTCAAATTAATTATTTATATACTGTACTTTTATCAAAATGCACTGATCATTTAAACAGATTAGATTTAAAATTTGACAAAGGAAACCATAGGGATAATGTGTCAACCATTTGAAATGAGTCTGCCTTGAAGTAAAACCTGTTTTCCTGTGTTTGATCTAAAGCCTTATTTATATGATAAATCGTAATGATCAATTAGAAATCAAAATGGATTTAGATTTTGAAATTTGAGAATGGGTGTATTAAAGATCGAGTGACAACTATTTAAATTGATTGAGTCCATCCATGTTTAAAATTCCTCTGCTTTGAAGCCTAACCATTGTATCTGAATCTTGATTGTTTATCACATAAAATAAAATTTAAACCAACATCAAATCTGTATCAGTTACCTTTTTGTGACCTCTGCCATTGTCAAATTAAATCCATTCACTTTGTTAATCCTATAGAGCAGAGAAAACGATAATAGATTTACACATAATCCCCTCACTCAATGCTATGGCCGATGAGGTCAACACAACCTCTCAGGTCTAACTCCAGTAGCAGCACTGAGCTAGCGGTTTGATCATACTGCTTCTAAAACCAAGATGGCCGACTACAACCCGTCTGCTTGTCAACAGCTGTAGTCAATAAATCATTCATGGGTAGTCTCCCACAAGGAATGACTGACTTGTAGTTGCACAATATATTACTGATTGATTGGTCACTTTTCTGGACACAGAATTACTCACTGACAAATTACTGAGGAGGGATTTTTTTCAGGGAATATTTGATAGTGAAATTAAAGAGTTTTAAAGTGACCAAACAATGCATCACAATACAGAGCTTCAAAGGTGGATAAAACATAGCAAACAAACACTGAACAACCGCATTAGAGAAAACAAAAACAAACAATAATGTAAAAAGGCTTTGAAAGTATGAAGTGAAATGGTCGTAAAATTGGTTTAGAGTATAGAGGCTGGTTGTATGATATAGTTCAGTTATAGCTCCATATTGATCTTTTTATGTGAAAATAAAAATGGTGTCTTTAGAAATCATTACTATAGATGAATGTAAGTAACAATGTTACAAGCTAACATGTGAATATACTGAATACCATTCAAATAAAGTATTCATTGGAACATATACCTCAATATTAATTATAAACTGAAAAATGGTATAATATGTCTCAGGTATATTAGACTCTCTCCTAAAGAAATTTTTAAAAGGATGGGTGTGTTTGAGAGAAAAGGGTAAAATATTATTAGACTCCCTTATAAAGAAATTTTTAAGAGGATGTGTGTGTTCGAGAGAAAGGGGGAGTATACTGTCCTTTCAACACAAACTATGTCATTTTGGGATTAAAATATGGTATGAAAATGAGAGTGGTACTGGTACCAATAACATACGCTGTGATCTATGATGCATACATCAGACCAGTCAGTCACATAAGCAAACTAGTGGATATACTAGGATCAGCCTGTGTACTTCCATAGTTAATGTAATAAAAAGATTAACATACACTTTGTTAAAACTTAAATTATGCAGCCTATATCTTCTTACCATTTAAAAAGATTTCTCCAATTTTCAAAATACACAAATAATTTATATAAAGTCCTTTGTTCTATGTATTTCTTACCTCTCTTAATCTGTTTCCTACATCAACAGCTGACATCACAAAATATTCCCCAAAATAGAGAACCTGCAAAAATAAAATCACATTTATTTCCCTGAGAAATCATTTGTTTAATGCAGTAGTGAGTAATTGCTTAGAGATAAATCACAATAAATTACGACAGAACACAGAATCCAAAACCACACCTTGAAATGAAATAATCAATCCCTTAAGCAAGGAGATTGAAATAGATTGTTTATAACACCCTCCTTTAAAGGTTTACAATGACGTTAATGACGTTGATCTCATGAGTTTAAAATAAACCATATTCCAATTTAAATGAGATTTCGTACTTATAGTAGTTTTTGAGTTCCTTATTTATACCCCCCCCCCCCCCTAAATGTTTCCAATGGGTTCATTTTACTATATATTAGTCTTGAGTAGGAATTACATAGCTGACTGATATACAGTTTTGAGTACAAATTACATAGCTGATATACAGTTTTGAGTACAAATTAAATAGTTGATCTCATGGGTTAAAAATAAACACCTTTCCAATTTAAACGATATTCTATTGTAGTTTTTTTTAAGTTCCTTATTGATTTTTATTCTCTTAAAGTAAAAAAAAAAGAGGATTAATCAAAAAGATAATTAATTATTAATGACAACGTCATTATTAGGTTAAGAAGCCCTAACATTTCTTACACTGTATTAAATGAATGAATGGGTGGCTTAAATATTAAAAAACAAAAAGAACAATAGCTTTTGATACTAGACTGACATTAAAACCATGTTTTAATTACATATTATATAATGTGTGTAGAGGATAAAAATAACGTATTTCCAAAGATGTTGCCCAATTGATCTCCATAAATAATTTTGGTATTAATGGTGTCCTGTTTCACTAATCATTATGTGTAGGACATGGGTAAGTAAAAATAGAAATTTCTAAAACTAACTATTGAAGCCATATACTTACATCATGAACCTTTTATAAGGTTATACTATATAATGTTTATACCAAAAATTAATCTCCATAATCTTTAAGTTTTGTGTAAGTAAATATAGAAATTTTGAAAAAATAACTTTTAAAAACATTTGATGTAGACAGTCATCTTGAAACTTTATTTACTGCAAATATTTCTAAATACATTGTCTAGTCCAAAACGAAACTATAGTATAATAACTTTATTTACTGTAAATATTTCCACAAGATCATGTGATTTTATATGTCTATTTCTAACATGAATCATATAATATTTACCGTAAATACATCCTATTGACTCCTATAGTCTAAAATGAAACTATATTATAATGGTGGTAATATCCTTCTGTAATTCACAGTAAATATAAAATTTCCGTCAATCAATTAAATCCCTCCGTGTTGCACAAATCCAATTTTGCTGAACACTTTATAAACAGCTATTCCAAATAATCCACAGATTTTAGTCAGAGGTCTATATCAGTGTAAATGAAGCCATCATAACATTTTTGTCTATGACAGGAAAGCATGGTCTGTATTCCAATGACAAAAAAAACTGAAAAATAAATAAACGAGCCGATGTAGACAAACACTCACAGCAACTGGAGAGCATGAATGATATGGAGGAGATATTTTCTAAGTACACATTGTTAACCCTTTAAACTAGATCAACACAGACCATTGGTCTAATACTAAATCGTGTAAAAACCCAAAGGGTTATAGGTTATTGTCCAATCTAAACAGCTCTACTATTGTTAGTTTCGGTTGATTGGCTCCAAACATCTTAAATAATCACAAGAATTTTGGCCATTCATGCTTCAATTGCTTCATTTATGCCCTTTAAACGCCCTTCAGACAAATAGTCAGCTTGCCCCTACATAATCCTCTGCTCTCTATATCTATACGCCCCAGTGCTTTAATTATCTGTCGTTTGACATGAAACATTTTTTAATTTAGAATATTTTAATATCATTGATACATCAGCTGAGATTGGGATTAAAAATAAAAATAAGTCTATATGAATGATAGCTCATGGAAAAACATTTGATTTATTAGAATTTTTTTTTTAATAAAAATAAATTTATATAAGATAAATAAGCCATCTTATTGCAGATATGATAAGGTTTTATTAGAAAATAATTATTTGTATTCAGTAAGTCTTAGATAGAGAGAAAAATGAGACTTAAGGTCCACTCTACCAAAACTATGTGATTTCTGGACTAGTAAGTCATAGGTCTGTTTAATGTAGATTTCAGTTTTCAATCCATTGTAAGATTATATTGACTTCAGACGTTATGTTTAAATCTCTAGAGAGTAGTCGTCAGTTGTCACACAGCTTAACTACTGACATCCACTATCAGGGGTTATAGTACCCTATTTGAAACCAGAAAACTCTACAAAAACAAATGACATGTGCATGCCCTAAGCTATCTCACACACCAAGTGTTAGGCTGACCTATTCAGATGACCAAGATAAAGTTTCTGAAAGACAAGGCATCTCACTTTTGCATTAATAGATGCTTTTAAAGTTTCAATTTCATATTTTTACGTTATATTTTTAAAATGTATTAAAATAAAGCCCTAAAATAGATGGTATCTATAAACAGTCCTACATTGTTAAAGAATAATCCTATTAATCACTAAATATTGCCAGTTGAGAAATTGGCAAAAATATAATTGTCAACTTCAAATTCAAATGTTTGAAGATAGCTATTCCATGGTTGGGAATAGGAAAACAAGGGAGGTAATTGGAAGGTAATTGTGTTATTATTTCTGGTGTGAAGATTTTTAAGTGTGAGAAAGATAACCTATGATCGTATAATAGTGAGTTGACAACCTATTGAGCAAAAGAAATAATTATGTTTTGACTTTCTTAGAAAATATGAAATTGTAACTTTAAATAACTTAAACTACCATCATATAAGTTTTCTACTAAGAAAATAGATGTATCAAAACAAAACACTGAGCAGAGCTGCGTTCACATTGGGATTAATTTGTTTGGGCAAAAAGTAAGATGTTGATGTGACGATTCAGGTAGCAGCTCAGTGTGAACTCAATGATTCCTTAATATAATGTAAAAGGAAGCGCTGTGTCTGGAGAGATGTTTCTGACATGATACTTCAACACTGTCATATTAGGCTCCTTGCGAAATCTAGTGACATTTTTCAGTTCCACCAGACAGACTAATTCATTTCAATTGGTTTCATTTGTTTGTACAAATTTTTAATCTTGTCAGTGTGATCGCAAAAGTAAATGTTGATCCTTTACTTCTGATACATGTAATAGCAATTTAAATGTAGCCTAATAGTATTATGATCAAGATAAGAGCAAAATGGTGTAAGTTTTATCAGATAGTCGTATCTCAACCACCATGTCATTTTCAGATCTTCAATTGGAACAGTTTGTTATTTAAAGAGGTATTATCACTCTCTGTATTCACCTAAAAACTCCAAACACTGGTTCTACCTAGAGCATTTTGCACAAGTGTTTGCTGAATGCCGTAAAATTTACTATGAAAACCGCTGATCATCACAAATGGTAATGTGTCTTACTGAGTCAGGATCACAGGAATGGATTGGCAGAATCAGCCTCAATTAGTTGAGCATTACCAAGGTTCAAATGTATCTGTATAGGTAGATCATGTCTATTCAAAATCAATGATATTTTAATATTGTTTTAATCTATAAATGTAAAATTTTAAATGATGGCACATTGTCCTCCCACAAAGCTAACCAACAACTAAAATCAATGAAAATTAACAATTTTATTTTGGACCCAAATCGAAGAGTCAAGAATGCAACTTTACATACCACAAATAAAATATGACCATTTAAAAATGCATTATGTAAGAGGTAAATGTGGCTATTTCAGATATTTTTTTGAATGGCCGAGATATGAAGTGAATTAAACAATGTCTACCATATTTTTGATAAATGTTCAAAATGGAAAAATAGACATCTTTTGTTATTGTAGAAATGCAGAATTTGACAATCAAGACTATGCTTTTTCTTATCAAAACTTTAAACATTCATAACTTCGTTCAGAATAAAGTAGTTTGACTGAAATTTTAAGAACGGCCCTGTCTTGATCTAAATCTTATATACACAATGCATCTTAAAATGTTAAATTCTTGTTAGGAAATAGATGTATAATTTTATTATGTATATACACAATGTATCTTTAACAGTGAAATTCTGGTTAGGAAATACATGTATAAAAATGATTTTATATATATAAATGTATACAATGTATCTTTAACAGTGAAATTCTGGTTAGGAAATACATGTATAATTTTATATATGTATATACACAATGCATCTTTAACAGTGAAATTCTGGTCAGGAAATACATGTATAATTTTAATGATTAGGTGTGTCCTAAACTGTGTTAAATTTAAACTTGTGATATGTGTTTTTGAAAGAAAAAATCTGGAGAAATAAAAAGATTTTTATTCTAGAAAAGGCGAGACCAGTTATATCGCACTTTGACTTATGAAAAATTTATCTACTCTTACAGTGCGTTTTAGAATACTGTAGGTCCATTAGACCTTATTAGAAAGGTAGAAGGGAAAAAATGTGTGTGTGTGTGTGTGTTGGGGGAGGGGGACTAGATATTGCAGAAAACTGTTGATCAGAATACTTTGGCAAAGTTTTTGTAGCACTGTTATAAACGCCATTCAGTCATCTATGCAAACAGTGAGGTTATCTGCCTTACTTTTGGATCCAGGGCCATCAAACATTTTTATGCTCAACTCAGATTTATTAAAATTTATGTTATTTGTTGCTAGCACTCTAATAAATGTAATATTAAATTCAAAAGGGTTTCATGTATTATATATATCTTGAAACTATTGGCATACATTGAATAACACTAAAGTTTATTGAAGAAAAGTTTCCCTGGATTCTTCCCACTACTAAAGAGCCCTCTACACATGCGATTTGATACAGTTAAGATACATATCACTTCCCAAAAAAACCTAGTAATGTCGACATCACTTCAAACCCATCAATTTTGCTTGACTTTTACTTTATGTGAAAATAGGATTTAGATCAATTCAATTGAAAAGTCACAGCTAATCTTTTGTCTCAAATGATTGATAGGATTGGTGTGAATTAAGAATAATATGTTTGACTTTCAGCACTTTCAAAGGTGGTACTCCATTGAAAGTGGACAATAAGCTGTGAACAAAGATTACAATTAGTGATAAAATCCTTTAATACCTTAATCCATTGGATTAGGGATTAATTTTCCAAATTTTCTGTTGCCAAGATCCTTTAATGACTTTTTTAAATAAAGGAATTAAATTATTAAAAGAGATGTTTAAAGACAGATAGTCTGAGAGTCTTCTTAATTCAAAGCTCTTATTCTTAAATAGTTGATGTCTCTTTCATGGTTTAACTTTAATTTTTAATTTAGTCCAATCTTCTTCCCCCCTATCTGCTAATTAATCAAGTAATTAGTTAATAAATAAAAGCTGGGATGGATGTCACTGTAATGAGGAAGTGTAACCACAGCTAATAGATTAAAGTAACTGATTAAATTTTGGTATTTAGTTTAGAAAAAAGAAAGATAGATTAACAGATATTGAACTTGTCACAGAAGTGTCATTTTTGACAGATTAGTCTATGAATTCTATTAACATGGTTCCTGATATTGCCTCGCAAGTCAATTGTAGGGTTAGCATGTTACTGATATAATTCCCCCAATGTACATTATTTCTTTTTTTTATTTCTTTATAATAGATATAAATATATATCAGTTTTTATAAATTTAATAATTCATATTAAAAGATATATTGCTTTGACTGTCACGTATCATGAAAAAATGAAATGACATGGGGTTTAATGTTCTACTTTTCTGCAGCATCCTGACTAATTAGAACTGATGTACGCCATGCATTGTGCTCAGGGGGAAATGTTTCCCAGACAGTAGCACTACAGCCTACTGTTATTTCAAATTACAACTGTACCAGGGTTCTTTTACATGTACGCCAAAGTGTCCACAGGACCTTGTTTTTCCGTACCATCTGAACAACTAGACAGCTAGACAGCTATCCCTTGCTAGGTTGTCCTTCCTGCACCCCACTGACAAAGGGAAACCACACCAGAAGATTCAGAGGAACCTTCTCAGCCAACACTGGGATCAAACCCAAGACCTCTAGGTTTAGTTAGCCAGTGGCTTATTGAGCTACCATGTCTTCCTGACAAAAATAACAAGCCATTAGAATCAAATCCAAACTATGCAGATAAATATATTTGTTATCAAACTCGTGTGCACATGTGGTGATCTTCGATATACTGATTTCAAAAGCTTTTAAGTAATGTGAAATTCATGCAAATGTGTCATAATTTTTATTATTTTAGCAAATTTGGTTGGGTGTCTTTTTACAAAAGTGCTTTATTTTTTATTTAATCCATGTAAGTGTCTACTGGATACAAACTACGGTAGGTAATATTGGGACTAACATATTGTTCAATTCTATTTCAATAATTCGCTTG